GGACCCGACTCATAGCGACCCCTTCTTGGGTTTCCAAGGCAGTATCACTGTGGAAGTAGATTGTCCACCCTTCCTTCCGAGGAGTGGCTGGTGGGTTTGAACCTCCAGCCTTCTGGTTAGCAGTCAAGTGCCTTAGGCACTACGCTACCAGAGCTCCCATAGAAGGCTCTAGCTACTCTATAATCACTGAGCAGTGAGATGGACTGACACGATAGCATGAAATGGACTCAAACTTACCAATGATCATGAAGATGGCACAGGACTAGCCAGCATTTCATTTTATTATACAGGAGCTCTCCATGAGTCAGAGCTGCCTCGATGGCAGCTGGCAACAGGCTACTGAATCAGTTAATTAGAAAATGAAGTATTGATTATTTTCAATTTCTTCCAGTATTTGTCATCTTTAAGTTCTGCTGTATGATTATGTTGTATGAATGACTCTCTGGCCTTTCAAAGATCATTTATCTCTGGGCAGATGCTTAACAGTTGCCACAAGATGAACAAAGCAATAATCTTATAGACCAAGTAATTTATTTGAGGAAGATGTTACCTGTGCTTCTTGAAAGCCTTCTGGATCTGACCTTAATTTAAACTGACTTGAAAAACGAAAACCAAACTCACTGCCATTGAGTTGATTCTAACTCATGGCAACCTCCTTTGGGTTTCCGAGGTGATCAATCTTTATGGAAGTAGATTGCCCAGTCTTCCTCATGTAGAATGGCTGGTGGGTTTGAACTGCCAACCTGGTTAGCAGTCAAATGCCTTAGGCATTGAGCTACCAAAGCTCCTTGGACTCTGTGTTAGGAGCTCTGGTGGTGTATTGTATAAGGCACTTGACTGCTAACTGGAAGGTCAGCGATTCAAATCCACCAGCTGCTCTGTGGAAGGAAAACTGGGTGATCTACTTCTGTAAGGATTTACAGCCTTGGAAATCTAATGGGGGTCGCTGTGAATTGAGGGATAAATGCCTGGTGGACAGTTTTCTTGAAACATCACTAATTAATTTATTTATGTTAAGCTCAGTTTCCAGGGCTACACTGGGAATAGACTTGACATTTGGGAAAGTTTCCAGTCTTTATCTTTTTAAATAAGGGACAGGAGTGTTCAGGAGTACGGTACAGTCAGTAACCTATGTAAAGAGAAACTTCCACAAACCATTTTGAAGCCAAGCACATTTGACTCCATCAGTTGCTTGAGGACATGAATCCTGTATGTTGTTGTTATGTGCCTTCAAGTCATCTTTGACTTACAGCAGCCCTGTGTACAAGAGAATGAAACACTGCCCAGTACTGTGCTAGCCTCATGATCTCTACTATACCTGAGCTCATCGGTGCAGCCACCCTGTCAGTCCATCTTGTTGAGGGCCTTCCCTTTTTCTTTGACCCTCCACTTTACCAAGCATGACATCCTTCTCCAGAGAATGGTCCCTTCTGACAACATGACCAAAGGAGGTAAGATGAAGTCTGGAGACATTCTCACTTCCAAGGAGCACTGTGGCTGTACTTCTTTCAGGACAGATCTGTTAGTTCTTTTAGCAGTCTGTGGTACTTTCAGCATTCTTCACCAATACAACACAAAAGCATCTACTCTTCTTTGGTCTTCCTTACATTGTTCAGCTCTCACATGCGTATGAGGCAATTGAAAATACTATGGCTTGGGTTAGGCACACCTTAATGTTAAAAGAGATATCTTTGCCCTTCATCACCTGAAAGAGGTCTTTTGCAACAGATTTGCCCAATGCAAAACGTCTTTTGATGTCTTGACTGCTGCTTCCATTGGTGTTGATTATAGAACTAAGTAATATGAAGTCTTTTACAACTTCAATCTTTCCTCCATTTATCATGATATTGCTTATTGGTTCAGTTGTGAGGATTTTTGTTTACTTTATATTAAGGTGTAATCCATACCACAGACTGTAGTCTTTAATCTTCATCAGTACATGTTCCAAGTCATCCTCACTTTCAGCAAGCAAAGTTGTGTCATCTGCCTATCTCAGGTTGTTAATGAACCTTCTTCCAATCCTGATGCCATTCTCTTCGTCATATAGTCCAGCTTCTCAGATTATTTGTTCAGCATACAGATTGAATAAATATGGTGAAAGGATATAACCCTGACACACTCCCTTCCTGATTTTAAACCAGGCAATATCCCCTTGTTCTGTGTGAATGACAGCCTACTGGTCTAAGTATAGGTTCCTCATGAGTACAATTAAGTGTTTTGGAATTCCCATTCTTCTCAGTGTTATCCACAATTTGTTATGATCCACACAATCAAATGCCTTTGCATAGTCAATAAAACACAAGTAAACAGCTTTCTGGTATTCTGTGCTTTCAGCCAAGATCCATCTGACATCAGCTATGATATCCCTCCCTCCTCATCCCCTTCCGAATCCACCTTGCATTTCTGCAAGCTCTCTGTCAGTATGCTACTGCAACCATTTTTGAATTATCTTCAGCAAGATTTTACTTGCGTGTGATATCAATTATATTGTTTGATAATTTCCACATTCTGTAGGATCACCTTTCTTTGGAATGCGTACAAATATGGATCTCTTCCAGTCAGTTGACCAGGTAGCTGTCTTCCAAATCTCTTGGCATAGCCAAGTGAGTGCCTTCAGCACAGCATCCATTTTTTGAAACATCTCAGTGGGCATTCCATCAATTACTGGAGCCTTGTTTTTCACCCGTCCCTTCAGTACAGCTTTGACTTCTTCAGTACCATTGGTTCTTAATCATATACCACCTCGTGAAATGGATGATCATATACCAATTCGTTTTGGTATAGTGACTCTGCATATTCCATCCATCTTCTTTTGATGTTTCCTGCATCATTCAACATATTAACCACAGGATCTTTCAGTATTGCAATTCAAGGCTTACATTTTTTCCTTAGTTCTTTCAGCTTTAGAAATGCTGAGTGTGTTCTTCCCTTTTGGTTTTCTAACTCCAGATCTTTGCACATTTCATTATAATAATTGACCTTTTCTTCTTGAGCTGCCCTTTGAAATCTTCTGTTCAGCTCTTTTATCTTGTTGATTGTTCCATTTACTTCAGCTACTGTCCATTCACAGGCAAGTTTCAGAGTCTCTTCTGACATCCATTTTGGTCTTTTCTTCCTTCCCTGTCTTTTTAATGACCTTTTGCTTTCTTCATGGATGATGTTCTTGATGTCATCCCACAGTTCCTCTGGTTTTCAGTCACTGGTGTTCAGTGCATCAAATCTATTCTTTAGATGGTCTCTAAATTCAGAAGGGATATCATCAGGGTCATATTTTGGCTCTTGTGGACTTCTTTCAATTATCTTGAGCTTCGAGTTGAACTTACATATTAGCAATTGATGGTCTGTTCCACAATCAGCTCCTGATCTTGTTTTATAGTGTATTGATTTCTGTTTCTGAGTATGTACTTAGAAAACTGTATTGGCTTTGTTACAGGATTTGCAGGTATTGAGAGTAAATGATACAGAGCCAGCCACCTCTGACTACAGATGCTCTGCATTTTGGGGAGGCAGTAAATTGACTGAACCCAAATGGTGAATAGCAAAGTGAAGTTTCTCTATTAACTCCAGTCTTTCTGAAAGACAGATGACTACAAAGTTCTCATCTTGCTTTTTCAGCTTGCTTAAGAAAAAGGGAAAAGAATTTAAGATTCTATAACCATTGTCTCATTTTGTTGTTTTTAATGGGGAAGCAGCTTGAAGTTGGTTTGTTGTTGTTGGTATGTGCCGTCGAGTCAGACCTGACTCATAGCGACCCCTCTTGGGTTTCCAAGGCCATATCACTACAGAGTATCACTACGGAAGTAGATTGCCCAACCTTCCTTCCGATCCACCAGTGCCTTAGGCACTGCACTGCCACAGCTCCTAGCTTGAAGTTAGCACTGTCTTATTTTCCTAGTGCTGCTATAACAAAAATGCCACAAGTGGGTGGCTTTAAAAAACAGAAATTTATTTTCCACAGTTTTGGAGGCTAAAAGTCCAAGTCAGAGTTTCAACCATGTCACTTCCTTCCTTGTACGTACTCCCAGGCATTCCTCAGTTCCTCACATGGTGTCTGTCGTCTCTGAACCTCCGCTTGCCCCTCCTTAGAGTGTGCATATTTCTGTGTCTCATCTGCTCTTTTTATAACCATGAAGTGATTAAGTGTATAACATAACCTACTTGGGAATGATCTAATTAATATAACAAAGAAAACTATTTCCAAATAGGATTACATCCCCTGGTATAGGGGTTAGGATTCCAGCACATATTGGGGAGAGGGTGCGCAATTTAATCCATAAGAGTATTATGTTTGGGGTAGTTGAGGAAGTCGCCCTTGGGAAGGGAGAGTGTTCCTTTCTAGCAATGAATAGAGCTTTATAATATATTTTTATTCTTTCTGGATATAGTACTTTACCTCTATGGAATGATGGAGTTGAGAATGTGCACAAATTTCAGTATGGAATAAGGAAGGACAAATAAAGTGCCAAGAGGACTCATACTGAATTGCTCTAGAACTGAATTCTGGTGAATCTCAAAATAATTATGCTGAGTAAAAGAAGCCAGGCAATATATGATTCCATTTATACAAAATTCTAGAAAATGCAGATAATCTGTAGGAACACAAAACAGATTAGTGGTTGATTGGAGATGGTAGAAAAGGGAGGGAGGATTGATTAACATGGGGGCATAAGGAAGCTTGGGGTGATGGGTGAGCTTTATTGATTATGATAATGGTTTCACAGGTTCTATGTATATGTTATAATTCATCAAATTATACATTTTAAATATGAAATTTATTTTGTCAATTCTATCTCAGTAAAGCTTTTAAGAAAAGAAATAAATCCAGGTGCAGCATTTATCAGAAGACTTTTTTCTGACATATAGGGAGGCTGCTGAAGAAAATTTCACATATGTGAAATACAAATATGTATGTATAAAGTTTAAGTATGGGTACATACCTCTTATTTAATGCATTTGATTTTTCTTTAGGAGTCCATAGAGGCTACTGAATTCCATTGAAGATGTCTAACAGTAATACTACTCAGGAGATCCTGGAAATAATGAAAGAATCAGAAAAAAAACTGGTAGAAGAATCTGTGAACAAAAGCAAGTTTATATCTAAGGCTCCAAGTAAGGAAGAAATTGAGAAAGAAGGTGAAGATAGCAGTTTGCGTCAGGAAACACAGGTAAGGTTTCAAAGTGCATCATATTTGCACATTCCTTATACTTGAATAGAAGTATCATAGGGTGGCATTGGAAATCTATAGGATGTCAATCATTTGTACAGTCTTGATTCTCCCTAAAAACTCCAGCTTCAGCTTTTAAGAAACATCTCTTCATTTCTTGCACAAAGAAGTCGAAAGAAGACAGAGTGAAATTCTTGATCCATTTGGGCATGAGTTTACTGGTTATTGACTACATTTGCTACATTTTCATATTTTCAGGCTATCAAAAAATAAACTATATAAACAAATTTAACAAGTTGTAAAATAGTTCATACATTAAACTCTTAAAACCAGAGCTACCAGGCTTTATACACATTGTTAAATTCATATTCTGATTGTGTTAAAGCAGTCAGCATGTTCTGGGTCAGATAGTATCTGAACTTGTCACTTGATAAAAGTGGGTGAGAGGAATTTCACTCTTTGGTAGCTATATTGTTTTCTGTACAAATTCATACTACAGTACAGAAATGGTGGCAGTAGATGGCCAGGCAAGCTTCTTCCAAGGTTTCCCTTTGGTGCCAGCCAAGCTTTTCTAGGCTACCTATTCCAGCCCTATGGTCATCCTGGTTTCCTCTGTTACCCAAACCCAAATTAAATAAATGCTTTCCCTGATGCCCAGGAGTCAGACTGGCCTTTCTTATAATCTTGGGAGATATTACTCTAGCCAGTAGTTAGTTTAAAAAGTAGGAGCAACATATTGAAGGGTTTAGGAACTTGAAGCATAATTTATTTAGCTATCCCAGTTCACCTAGATTTTGTCGTCTTTAAAGATTAAAATACTGAGCAGCAAATATAAAAGGATAAATTAAAATCACACAGCTCTCTGAAATATTTTCTTCACTAGCTGCATATTTTTCTACTCTTCCCTGTTAAAATTTGCCAGATGTCTGTCCTGGCTGCTTTTCTTTCCATTATCTTTTTCCATATGAGTTACCAGTTATTATTCCTCTTCTCTCCTAGCATAGTGGCTAAAGCACTTGACTGCTAACCAGAAGGCTGGCGGTTCAAACCCACCAGCCACTCCTTGGAAGGAAGGTTGGGCAGTCCTACTTCCGTAGTGATACTGCCTCGGAAACCCAAGGAGGGGTCGCCAAGGAGGGTTCGCTATGAGTCAGGGCCGACTCGACGGCACATAACAACAACAACATCCTTCCAGAGTTTTAGAGACAAAACTATCTGCCAGTTTCAGCTGTACTTCCAACTATATTGGCTCTACTAATAACAATAATGGAATTTAAATCCTCAGGACAAATAAATGATGAATTTTAATTATGTGTTGTCATAATTCATGAAAGATAATTAAATGTACGTTTGGTTCCAAGTTATTCTATTCTCAAGAGACTATATAAGTGGTTTTCTGAGCTCCTGTTATTTGTGCTTCTTGAAGACAGGCAGAAAAAAGACATCTATAGGTTTATATTTCCTATGGACTCATTGTACATGAGCTCTGGTAGCACAGTGCCTAAGGCACTTGACTGCTAACCAGAAGGCTGGTAGTTCAAACCCCCCAGCCACTCCTCGGAAGGAAGGTTGGGCAATCTACTTCCATAGCGATACCGCCTCGGCAACCCAAGGAGGGGTCGCTATGAGTCGGGTCTGTCTCCACGGCACATAACAACAACAACATGGACTCATTGGTTTAAAAATGTTTTCACCTGTATATACAAACAGGTTGCAGGAGGGTGAGGGGACACTTGTCTTCTCTCTAACTTGACTCCTTTTACTCCTGATAGAGTAGGTAGAGAGCTGTTGCTGCCATCTACTGGAGCTCCTGAGCCCTCTGCAAAGTCTTTGGTCCTACTTGCCACCCTCCATCCTATGGAGCAGTACCTTAGGAAGCTCTTTCTCCTCTACTATTTCCCAGCAGTTCATGTGTCCCTTTTATAGATCTAAAAATTCTCTTCTTTTCCCCTCCCACCCCATCTCAGACATCTCCCCAAGAAACTAACTTGTGCTATCAGAGTAGTCCTATTACAAATGGGAACTGGAAAGTTTGGGGCAGAGGGACTTTCATCTTATTGTGTTAATTCTCTTCTTCAGACTACTGTGTGTCTTACTGCCTTAGGCTAAGTTCCAGATTTCTTGGCATGACATGTTGTGACCTATTCCCTCGCCTACCATCCATCCAGCTCTGGCATCCTGTGCTTCAGCCTGATCTGATTCTTTGGTCTTTATTATAAAGGGGAACTAAAATGTTTGGGGAAAGCAAGCCTTTGTACATGGTTTCTCTGCCTGGAATTCTCTCCTTGGTATTCTTTCACTGGTTTCCTCTAATCCCTGACACTTCCCCACAGCGTCTGTCTTCTTCTTGTTATTAGATGCCATCTAGTCAGTTCTGACTCATAATAACCCTATGTACAACAGAACAAAACATTTCCCAGTCTTGTGCCATCTTCAGAATTGTTGCCATGCCTGAGCCCATTGTTGCAGACACTGTCAAACTACACTCTATCTTGTTGAGGGTCTTCCCCTTTTTTGCTGACCCTCTACCAAGCATGATATCCTTCTTCAAGGACTAGTCCCTTCTAGCAATATAGCCAAAGCAGGAGAGACAAAGTCTGGCCATTCTCGCTTTTAAAGAGCATTCGGCTGTCCTTCCTTCAAGACAGATTTGTTTGTTCTTCTAGCAGTCCATGGTACAGCTCTGGTGTTGTAGGGGTTAAAACATTCAGCTGCTAACAAAAAAGGTTGGCAGTTTAACCCCACCAGCCATTCCATGGGAGAAAGATGAGGCAGTTTTCTTCCATAAAGATGTACAGCCTAGGAAACCCTATGGGGCAATTCTACTCAATCTTATATGGTCACTGTGAGTCAGAATCCATTTAGTAGCAGTGGATGTTAACATCTGTCTGGTACCTTTAAAACTCGATTCAGATGTATCTTTCTCTAGGAACCCTTCCTTGACAACCTTGCTCACTCATTTCAGATCTATACTCATTATGTAATTCTTCAATTAATCTCTCTGTCCTTCACAGAGCAATAAGGTCTGTGAGGCCCAGGATTAGGTTAGTTTTGGCTTCCCATTGTATCCCTGAGACCTAACATAGTGCCTTGCATGTAGCAGACACTCAATATTTGTGAACATATGAATTTATGTATTACTAGGTCTGAGTTAGGCACTTCTCCTGTATGCTTCTATAGTACTCCGTGCACACCTCTGGAATTGCATTTATATACTGTATTGTAATTAATTGTCTATTTGTCTGTCTTCTCCAAGAAGACTTTGAGTTTCTTTTTGACAAGGTTTATGTCTTTTATCTTTTTTATTGTGATTTGGTTGAAAATTTACAGAGCAAATTTACTTTCCATACAGCAGTTCATATACACTTTGTCTCATGACATTGACTACAGTTTACCACAGTGCAACAGCTCCTGTCCCACTTCTTCTTAATAGTTACCTCTTCCCTGTGTCCATCCCACCATGCCCCCTGAACTGTCTCCCTGTGCATAAACAGCCCTTCTTTCTCCCATGATTGGAGTGTATTTACCTCAGATAAATGTTCAACTCATATGCCTGTCTTTTGTTTGGCTAGAAGCCACAGGTGTGGGTTCAATTCCAGACCTGAAGGGCAGCTAGGGGCCATAGTCTCAGTGGTTCCACCAGGCTCTATCAGACCAGCAAACCTGATCCCCCTTTTTTTTTTCCAAATTATTTTGAGTTTTGTTCCTCATTGTTCTCCCTCTTTATCTGGGATCTCCTACATATAGATCCCCCTCCAAGTGGTTGACCGTGGTAGCTGGGCACCATCTAGTTCTTCTGGTCTCATAGTCGTATAGGCTGAGGATCGCATGGTGTACCAGTCGCTAGGACTAATTGTTTCCATGAATCTTTGGTTTTCTTCATTCTTCTTTGCTCTGGATGAGGAGAGACCCATCATTGCATCTAGATGGCTGCTTGCAAGCTTTTAAGATCCCAGTCACTACTCGCCAAAGTAGGAGGTGGAACAATGTTTTGTGTAGTATGTTATGCCAATTGATCTTAATGTCCCCTGTGACTATGGTTCCGAGCCCACAGGTTCAACTACTCGGTCCCTCTGGGTAGCTGGCTGTGACTAAGAAGTGACTACAACCTTGTCCCTTGTCAGCTCTGCTACACACCTGGGGATTCAGATCATACAAATACACTTATAGGACCATTGTCTGCCAACCCTATACATGGTCTTGGTACACTCCCTGCTTCATAGACATATGTAATAGTTCAGCCAGCCCACCCATCTGTCCACTCATATACCCATGTTTGCCTTCACTGACAATGCAGTACTGTGTGTGCAAAAGGGTTCATCTTTGTTGTCTGTATCTCCCATGTACCTCTCTATGTCTTCTCTTCCTCAGTGCCACCATGTTGATCACTCATGGTACATTGCTGAAGAGGTTTATGTCTTTTATCTTTATGTGCCCCAGTAGCTAGCATAGTACCTAGCACATGTTAGGCTTTCAGTGTGCATTTAATTTCCTATTGATGAAAACTGTACATTCTGGAAAATAAGCAGATTAGAAACATTTGGCTGATAATCAGAAGGTTAGTGGTTCAAATCCACGAGCTGCTCTTCAGAAGAAAGATGAGGCAGTCTGCTTCCATAAAGATTTATAGCCTTGGAAACCCAATGGGGGTCAGTTTATACATTGTTGGCAGGGATGTGAATCGATAATATCTTTGAAGGGCAATTTGACTTTATAAAAATGAACAAATGTACTTCTAGGAGTTTATACTGTATTTGTAGGTACACTCAAGGGTCTGGTAATTGTAATTGAAGAACAGAAACATCCTAAATGGTACAATTTAAGGGACTGATAAAATAAGTTATGGTACAGCCACACAGTGGAATACCATGTCATCATTAAGAAAAACAACATAGATCTTCTATAGGATGATATCCATGAAAAAAAGTTAAAAATCAAGTTTCAAGTTCAACAAGACAGAAAATAACAAATGCTGGCGAGGTTGTGGAGAGATTGGGACTCTCATACACTGCTGGTGGGACTGTAAAATGGTACAA